ATAGCGATCCTCAAAAAAGGGATATACAAGTACATCAGATGAAGCAGAGATTTGCAGCGAGAGGCTATTCGCAACATATCCTTACAATTGCCGAAATGAAGGCAAAACAATGTATTCAAAATCCTGTGACCAAAGACATTCAGGCAGTATCGTCTTTTTCTTCCTCTCACCTTTCATACTAATACTACGCTTATCAAAAATACAATACATAAACATTGGGACATATTACAAGCAGATAAAAGCTTGTCACCAATCTTTCAAAATCCACCGATCAGTTACAAACGTAACAGAAATTTGAAGGACATATTAGTCCGTAACGATCCGGTACACTGTTATCAACATGAAGGCAGTAATAAGAAGGGATGTTATAAATGCACAGGCTGCGTAACATGCAGTCATATGGCTCCTGGTACCTCTTTTGCACATCCGCATACAGGCAAACGGATTGCCATTCAACACTACATCACCTGCACTACTGACCACGTGGTTTATCTGATTACGTGCCCTTGTGGGTTAGCATATGTGGGCAAAACGGATCTTACTGTTAGAGATCGCATAAGAGGGCATCGTTCAGCAATTACCACAGCCTTTCGTGACCAACATACTGAGAAACCAGTGGCTAAACACTTCCTGGCCTTAAACCATCGTCTTCCCACTCTGAGATTTATTGCTATTGATCATGTTCCACCTTTACGTCGAGGAGGCGATAGGTCGAAGATTCTTCTACAACGGGAAGCATATTGGATTTATTCTCTTAAGACAGCAGCTCCAAAAGGACTTAATGAACACGTTACATACTCTATGTTTCTTTAACCAACATTTGCAGATGCGACATTTTTACTTTTTATTTTTTATTTCAGTATTTTTTCTTCACTTTTTTATTTTTATTTATTTTTGGATTTATCCCTTTTTTATGCAGGTTCGCCTGTTATATTTAATATTCTTTATAGTTATATGTATTGGCAGTATTATACAGTATTGACTTTTCAGATATTTGTCTTTTCCCACCGCATTAGTTGATGATAGACCAATAGGAGGTCGCTTTATTAGGTCTATTCCTCACGAACATTATATTATAATATAGTATGACTGTATATAATTTTATATACAGATACAATCATTGGTTCAGCTTTAGATTTTTTTCTCCAGATCTGTACTTTCGGTATAAGATTCTTTTACAATACTAGCATGTAATATGTATTTAAATAGTGCTTAATTCATTTGTAGTAATAATTTTGTAAGTAACCTTTATTTCAAGGTTTACATTTTTACCTATACCACAAGTGTATTACATTTAGCATCACCTCATTTGGGTGAATTTTGGATCCATCATCTTTATGTCTTTTTATAGTTGCACTATATCCACATTTTGCTGCACCTCGTCACTTAATATGACACTTAAGATTGATGGATACCATTAATTGCCTCATGGGGTTAGTTATTATAACATGGATCTATACTTCCATCTTGTCAGTTCTCCCTCACCAGTAGTGTTCACTTTTCTATCACAGCATTCGTTACACTCTAGTAACTAACACACGTTGTTATGACAACTTATCAACAATCCGCCGGACGCCTGACGTAGTGACGTCGGGGGGCGGTCCTAATTCACTTCCGGGTTCGGAGAGGGAAACACACAACGCTAAGGCTTGGTAAGTGCACTTACACTTTATTTTATATAAACTCACTATTTTGCCAGTTTCACTAACCTTGAAAAAGACCTGTAGAGGTCGAAACGTTGGTTTTCAATTTTTTTCTTTTGCACATGATTTAAAATAAAAATGGATTTTTTGCACAAGTCCTGAGAGTGCATCTTGGATTATTCTTCAGATATATATATAGATATAGAATAATATATAATCTCTATCTCTATCTCTACACACATACATATATACACACACAAAAAATGAGATGCACTCTAAGGACTTGTATAATCAAAAAAATGCAGTATTTATTAAAAAGAAGGATTACATAATACGATCGACGTTTCGACCCCTCAGGGTCTTCCTCAAGATCAATATGTCAAAATCAGTGAAATCAATAAATAGTGAAATAAGAAAAGTACTCACCAATGGTGAATTGCCTCCCTCACCCTCTCCGTGCGAACCCGGAAGTGAACCCGCGGTCACGTGGTGTGGCGTAATGCCGACGTGATGACGTGTCACTGGTTGCTAAGATACCAGTGAAACAAGTGGTGAATAAGAGCGTGTATAGTACACGCTGGATAAAGCAATGTATAACAGTGTGCCCATGTTGCAAAATGACCAGTATATTGTGTATAACAATACACAGACAAAGTGACAAGTGCTGAAGAATAAGTGCCAGTGCAGAAATAGAAAATGTGATAACACATTGCAAATATGTGATTGCATGAATCCAAGTGCTTAATGTGCTACTACCTTCTGTAAATAGATCAAAAAGTACAAGGAAGAATCACACATAATTATAATTATAATAGACATCACCTAAGGCTAAAGCAGAGTTTCAGTTTAACAAGACGAACAGGGCAGTATAAAACAAGACTACAATAGAACCTGTATGTGTGATCTTAAAGATATATAAGCATAAATAGGTAAGAGAACAAAAAGTAAATCATTAGATGAGACCATTAATGTTCATTCTCATGGAGCTCTATACTATTGATCCATACCTCACTGATACTAAATGAGAAAGATTTTTTCTATATAATTAAGAAACTGTTAATCATTAATAAGAGTGGTCACAGACCACACCATATAATATATATAGTAGTGTGTACGGACAGTCACAGAAAATGTAATGTTTTCATTCAGCCCTTTCGGGGCAACCGTGTCCAGTCGGTGTATCCATTGAGCCTCACGCTGTAACAACATCCTGGATCTATCTCCACCCCTAGGCATTGGAGGAATATGATCAATGGCAGTGAACTTTAGAGAAGGTAATCTGTGTCCCATGATCAAAAAATGTTTAGCTACAGGCTTGTCACTCCGTTGATCTCTGAATGCCGTCATAATGGTAGACCGGTGTCCTCTTATCCGGTCCCGTACTGTTAAATCAGTCTTCCCCACATATGAGAGACCGCAGGGACACGTGATCATGTATATCACATGGTCAGTGGTACAGGTAATGAACTGTGATATTTTAATTTTTTGACCGGAATGTGGGTGTGCAAAAGTCGTACCACTGACCATGTGACCACACGTCACACATCCACTGCATTTGAAGCATCCTTTTTGGAGATGATAGTGGTTTTACGGTAACATGCTACTGGATCATTTTTCACCAAGAGATCTTTAAGATTTTTACTCCTTTTGTAACTTAAAACTGGCATCTCCTGGAACGAATCTGGTAATGTTTTATCAGATCGAAGTATTCCCCAATGCTTATGGATAGATTGTCTGATTGAGTGTACCAGTGTGAAATGTCAGCGGAAGGTAAATCCTAGGTTTAGATGATTTGCCTGATGTATTTCTCCTTGTTAGGTCATTTCTCTCCTTGTTCCAAATTTCCAATGCTCTCGTTTTGGCCAATTTTAATACACGTGATGAATATCCTCGTTCTCTAAATCTTTCCCACATTTCTTCAATCTGAGTGTTGCATCTTTCTGATTCAGTATTATACCTAAAAACTCTTAAAAATTGAGATATAGGTAATGACCGTTTGAACTGTTGAGGATGGAAACTGGAGGCCATGAGCAAGGTATTGCGGTCGGTCTTTTTCCGATGCAGTGTGAATTCTAGTTTATCATTTTTCTTATATATTGTCACATCCAAAAATTGGATTGATTTAGCATCATGTTGAACGGTTAATCTAACCGGTGTCGGTAATTGATTGATTTCCATAATCATGTTTTCCAACTGGTCTGACGTTCCAATCCAAATCAGAAAAAGATCATCCACAAAACGATAGTAATGTCTAATATGTTGTCCATATCTTTGTAAAATGTAAGTTTTTTCAAACATGTACATATAGGCGTTGGCATATGATGGTGCCATCGCCGCCCCCATTGCAGTACCGGTCAATTGAAGAAAGAATTGATTTTCAAATTTAAAATAATTGCAAGAAAGTGCTATTGAAAGGAATTCCATAAGGAATTCAATAGGTGGTCCCTCGTATACAGAAGATTGTATGAGGACATCTCTAAGTGCCTGTATACCATCGTCATGGGGTATTATGGTATACAGGCTTTGAACATCCATCGTTACCAATAATGCTGTGGTATCGATAAAGGGATCCCGGTTGATCCTGGACACAAAATCTTGTGTATCACGTAGACATGTGGATAAAGCCAGTACGCTACCTTTGATGAAAAGATCGATGTATTTTGCAACTGGTTCTAATAAGCTGTCATTAGCAGAGACTATAGGTCTCCCTGGAGGTCGTATAGGATCTTTATGGATCTTAGGCAAAGTGTATAGCACAGGGTGCCTAGGATATTCCACAAATAAAAATTGTGCAGTTTTTAAATCCAAGTATTCCATTTGTTTTCCCAAATCGATATGATTTTGTATTCTCATTTGAAATTTCTTAGTGGGATCAAAGGTAAGTCTGGCATATGTTGATATGTCATTTAGTTGTCTGTATACTTCAGTACGGTAATTATCATATGACTGAATGACTGTAGCGCCACCCTTATCCGCTGATCGAATTATAATATTCTGGTCTTGTCTAAGATCCATAAGTGCGATCTTTTCTCCCAGTGTCAAATTCTGATGATGTCTCGGTGAGTTTAATTATTTTGTCAGTATCAGTTTTAACCATTTGAATAAATGTTTTAATAGAGGTGTTAGCAGTACGGATATCTTTCTTACTTTTTGTGTACAATCGATTAGCTGTATTTGATGTACCAATTTTTTTTTAATTCATTGCTATATAGTGTTCTTTGAATTTTATACAGCTCCACCTCAGTTAGGAAAGAATCCGGTTTGGCAACAGGTACAAATGAAAGTCCTTTATTTAATAAGGAATAGTGGTCTGAATTGAGAATTTTATCCGATAAATTGAACACAGTGATCATCTCCTCATTCTGGGTGGTTTTGAGGTGAGATTTGTATTTTTGACAGTGCCTCTGTCCTCGCCGCGTAGGTCGTTTTTTTTATATCTCGAGTATTGATGCGTGATGTCCCTGGTGGTTCGTCTGAGTATCTGTCCTTTTCTAAAAAAGGATCTGAAGTCTGTCTCTTTAAGTCTTCGCTTGTTTCAAGGTCAGAAGTGGAGTCTCCTGAGCTGGCATCAATTGTTTGGAATGTTGGTTTTCGTATTTTTGTCCTCAACTTGCTGTACGGTCTATAATTGTCTTGTGCTCCCCCAACCATCTGTATACCTGATGGTACTTGTAATCATTATTCACCTTTTCCAGTTTTTGTTTCTTAAAGCAGATAAGGTCATTTTTGTATTTGTTAATTTCATCTTGTAACTTTAACATTTGGACAGTGGCAGTTGATGCATGCAGTGTTGAACTATTAGCCGTTTCCATATTCTGTATTGATTGTTTTACAAACATTAACTCTTTACCAACGTCAACAACAATCACCATCCAGTCCAATGAGCATTTATTGGATATCAGCATCCATTTCTTGCAGAATTCCGGATTTTGCCTTCCTATTGTGGGAGCATTTCTGATCCTAAAACCTCTGGGAATCCTTTTTGCACGGTAGTAGTCAGAAATAAATACTCCGTGAAGATCAAGATAGATTTCCCGTTTTTTCAATTTCAACAGATCATTGTACAAATCTTGTATGGTATTAGTGTGTAATAATTCTTGAGAGGTTTGTGGCCACAGGATAGCATTCGCTTGTGCGTCTGTTATAGACAATGTTTCAGCAGATTCCAATAATGCTCCTGCTTTAGCCAGAAAATCTTCCATTGTAAACAAAAAGAGGAAGTCTTAGAGGAAAAGTACAATTCTCTAGTTAGTAGACTAACAATGAGGGGGTGCTCAAGTAGGTGTAACGTTTCACCAAAAATATGTAAAAAACAAAAATGCTTGGCACTCACCCTTTCTCCAATTCAAAATTTTTCACCCTATAACTTTCCAAGACACCATAAAACCTGTACATGGGGGGTACTGTTCTACTCAGGGAACTTCGCTGAACACAAATATTAGTGTTTCAAAACAGTAAAATGTTTTACAACGATGATATCGCCAGTAAAAGTGAAGTTTTTTGCATTTTTCACGCACAAACAGCACTTACACGGACGATATTATTCCTGCGATACTTTTTACTGTTTTGAAACACAAATATTTGTGTTCAGCGAAGTCTCCTGAGTACAACAGTACCCCTCATGTACAGGTTTTATGGTGTTTTCAAAAGTTACAGCGTCAAATAAGGCTTGTGTTTCATTTTTTTCCCATTAAAATTCGCCAACTTGGGTACGTTGCCTTTGAGACTGTATGGTAGTCCAGGAATGAGAATTACCCCCATGATGGCATACCATTTGCAATAGTCGACAACCCGAGGTATTGTAAATGGGGTATGTCCAGTCTTTTTTAGTAGCCACTTGGCTACTAAAACCACTTAATCAATATCATTCTATGTGTGTTTTGATATTAATATATACACACACACTTAGACAGTATATATACATACATACACACACACACACACACACACACACACACACACACACACACACACATATATACACATATATACTTAGATCGTATATATAATAAACGGCATCAGGGGGACTGGCGTAGGATCGCCGGTGACGGTATATATTTTATTTTAAACTTTTTATTTTACATTTTACAGGCAGCAGGGAGAGTGCCTGTAATTACAGGCACTCCCCCTGCTGGCACTGACATGGAGTATGGGCTATGTCGTCCATGTGACCGTGAGGTCCTTGCAAGGACCTTGCGATCACATGGCCCAGGAGGGCCAGAACGACATCAGGGGGGACTCACGTGGGATCGCTGGTGACTGGTAAGTGAATAGGACGGTGGGGACATTTAGACTGGTTTTATAGTTATTGTAAAAATACAATATAATTTATTTACTAAATTGTAAATATCAGTAAACTCAAAACTAAACTCCAAAATTCTGAAAATATGCAAACATCTAGTAAATAATTTTTTGTGACTGCTAAACTTAAGCTTAGAGAATCATGTATCCCACTTTAATATGGGGTATTCAGAAATAACAGATATCCAATAATATAGTAAATGTAATCTCCTACAATTTATTTAGGGTTAAACTAAAGTATTTATTTAACCAAAACTATCATAGAACTAGCCTATATAATTCCATAATTAACTAGATTGAAAAATAAATTGCTAAAAATTGCAAATGCTTAAATAATTAGGCATTTTTAATATTGCATGTATCTAGTGATTTATTGAATATATATATATATATATATATATATATATATATATATATATATATAATTTATTTTTAGCGTCTAATTTGTGAATTAATATTTATAGTTATCAATGATTCCCATTTAATTCAGATTGCTGGAACAGAACATTTTTGATTTGTATAAACATCCAAAAGAAAGGCTCCCTTTGCTAAGCATGATATGAGAAATCAATTCAGCTTGACTTTTTGACAGGTTTAGCAAAATAAAATGAACTGTAATGGTTTTACTTTTAACACTTTTGTGAACTTTTTCAACCTTGGCTTCGAGAATTGTAAACCATTAGAATAATTTGTAAATTTCATCCTTGAGCTCTTTGGTTTAACCCCTTAATCCCAAACTTCTGGAATAAAAGGGAATCATGACATGTCACACATGTCATGTGTCCTTAAGGGGTTAAAGGAACGCAGGGCTAATTTTAACACCAATTAATGCATTTTACATAAAGTATTAAAACTATGTATTAATATATGCAGTAAGTAAAATAGCTAAATATAAAACCCCAAAACATATTTTAGAATGTGCCTTTTTATTTATTTTTTTATTTTGTAGAGTGCTGTTAGTAATCTGGAAACAACAAGGTTCTACAAATCAAACCAATCCATTGGACTATGAAAAATATGTGCATGAGTTAAAGAGTTACTCCAACCCTTTTAAAAACTCCTTTATTTATTCATTTATACATCTTTATTAAATTTTCACATATAATTTATTGCATTAAATTTGCTGTTTATATGTAGTATAATATCAACAATAAATACTCAAACACTGTATCCTTCATTCATATCTAAAAAAATAAAATAATCAACAGTACATGATATTAGACATGTGCACCAGTAACATTGTTTCGTACAAATTAATTCGTACTAAATAAAAATTGTTTTTGTCCATTCTGAATTTCAACCGTAAAACATTCCTTTTTCAGACGAAATTCAGTAAAAAATAATTGGTTTTCCTAACAGCAATAGCCCTTCAAGGCTGTTTTACTAATCTAAATAGCTACTTTTTTATATTGCAACATTGTTTTTGCTATAACTATTGGTTACATGTACTCTTACCGTAGCTCTCTATCACTTCTATCTGAGATACTGATTTATATCCAGTTTCCGAATAGCCCTACAAGGCTGTGTTGCTGATCTAAATAGCTACTTTTTCATATTGCAACATTGTTATTGTTTTTGCTATAACTATTCGTTACATGTACTCTTACGTAGCTCTCTATCACTTGTATAAAAGATACTGATTTATATCCAGGGATCTTGCTCTCACTTTATTGTGAGAACATTTTAGTCCCCCTGTTCCCCCATGGTGAAGAAACCAAATAATTAAAATGGGGGGGCATAGTGCTCCCCCAGGTCCCCACCCATGACCGGCGGGTGGGGACCTTAATTAAATAAATAATGGGGGGACCTAGTGTCCCTCCTAGGTCCCCACCCATGAGTGTCATAGTATCCAGGGAACCTAAAAACGCAGACAGATCACAGACACACAGGATTGCAATTCCAGTCCTTAGAGTGGCCGGGCTAAGCAAAAGAGAGAGTGTAGTCAGAGTACAAGCCGAGGTCAAGGACAGAGTGACGGAATACAAAAGGACAAGCCGAGGTCAAGGATCAAAGAAGACAGAATAAACGTGAGAGAAGCCAAAGTTCAGTAACCAAATAATCAAACACAATATAACGTGCTATTGGGCTGTCAAAGACCACAACAGGGAAAAGAGGAAAGGGAAATGTAAGTTATATAGGGAAACCTCTGATTGGCTAACTTCCAATCAGAGATAATTATTACATGTGGGGGGTACTTGTACCTCCCATTTTGATGTCATGATATCATCACTGCACACCGAGTCAGGTGACTGACTCAGGTGCCCATAAAAGCATGCTGCACACCAGCAGCATCCGGGAGGTCAGCGGGGAGAGCCAAGCCAGCGGGCGCTCATGGCAATCGGAAGTGAGGGGACACCGGTAGGTGGGGGCCAATAGTAAAAAAAGGGTGGGCATATTGTCTCCCCCCAACCCCCACCTATGAGCGGTGGGGGCCCTAAGTAACAAAAGGGGGGAGACCTATTGTCTCACCCCTGGCCCCCACCCATGAGCAGCTCATGGGTGGCTAAATATAAAAAAATACCTCCCGCACAAGTGACTAGGGTCCTGAAACCCCTAGTCAATCCACTACAAAATAAAATTAAACCCTACCTACCCCCTCACCCTAAAAAAAGTGAGGGGGGAACAAAAAAACAAAATACCTGTAAATAATTTTATTATTTTAATAAACTAGTTCCTGTGGCTTTAAGGATTGTAATAAGAAGGTAGTTCATTGAGATGAGTTCCTGAAGCTTTAAGGAACCCGAGTGGAATTAGTGTCTTCTATTATAATACAGAGAGGATGCAGAGGAGTAATCTGCGAGGATAAGTTCATGTATGAATTACAGAGATAGCTTTTCCATTAATAGTACTCAGAAGGCACGGAGAGACATTGAGGTGCCAGTAGAAAGGAATAGTCCAATATTTACTTGCCATAAATTGGCGGTTTAAACAAGAAGAGTATTCCAAAGTTAATCCGAGTCAAGGTAAGGAGAATGGAGATAAGCAGTATAAACAGTCCAGGTTCAGTACACGTAGTCAGTAGATTAGTGTGATAGTTTGTAGCCGGTCAGAAGACAGGAAGCTTCAAAATAATCAAGCCCTTTGAATCTGGCGTGGTTCCTCTAAGTAGCGTGAGGAAGCCACTTCAGAGAAGGGGGTGTGCCATTGTTCAGTGAACCCAGAAGTGTTAGATTTTGGCAAGGCAGCTAGTTAAGTTCTGACACCCTTGCCCCACACGTTCCTCTCTCCCTCTCACCCAGCCTGACTGGAGTTGACCCGGTCCCTGTATACTTGTAGCGTGGGGTCAGTGGTTACCTCTTTCCCAATCTCAGAGATAGGAGACGTATTTGTAATATTGTTAAGCGAGCAAA